GATGTCAAGTATGCTGATGCTTCAAGGACGAGGGGCCCGAGTTGGACCTCCGACAGCAGACTGGGTCTCACAGTCACAGTCACGAACTATATATCTTGACAGGGTAGGTCAGCCCATTGTAAATCTTCATCAAAAAAGCATACACACCTACTGCCACATTGTCGATTTCATGTCGGCGTGTTTCCTCCGCTCCATGAACACGACTCACGAAGGAATCGTGAGAGGCCGTTGAAGATCGCCATTGTGACCATCAAAGGTAAGTGGGGACCAGTCCACAGGCAGATAGCATCATTCGTCGTCAGGCTGTGAATTGAGGGTAGGTACATATTTTCCCATACAGCGCGCACAGTACATGCCGTACTTCCGGAATGCATCTACACGCTAAGCATACATGGATATGCGTTCCGCAGTCACACAGACTGCTATTATGCTTGAAATAGACATGTTGACTCACCGTGGGCCAGTATCAGCCACGAAGTACCGGACCCTTGATTCGGGGCCTCTGTGTAGTCCAATCTTTGCGATGCAGAAGAATGCAACTCACATCGATAGGGCCCAATGTGAAGCAGCAAGGCGTCATCACGATAAGAGACGAAGCGCAGGGCTCGTAGCGTACGCTGCGACGAAGAAGCTAGCAGCTGGGAGGATGCAGCTTACTTCGCAAGGCCATGCGCATCTCGTCCGCCCCGGGCCTGGTACTAGCAGGCCCTCAAGAGCGTGACCTCGCACTATCCAAAAAGAGCATGTCAATGATGCCGCGGCGTCGCGTGAACTTGGGAACTAGCTTTGCTCATGTCGTCGTGAATTCAGAATTCCTACCAGCGGAACGCAGATCGAGTCGATCCGCCACAAAGTCATGTCACGCATCCATATGGCCACCTCAGGAACGTGGCCCGCAAGAATGGGTGTCTCAGCACTTCGAACTTGTCGGGGCGTGAAAAAACGAGCCTGATGCAGACGTGAAGAGAATACACACCACCAGTAGCAACAAGTCCGAATATGGCTATTCCCCCCTTCCGGATTTGTAAATTCTACCAGGCTTTCACCATGCTAGGCAGTGGTGGCTTTTGTTAGTTACCCTTTTTAATGATGCATCTACAGTCTGTTTCTAAGGACCAATTCCTAGGCACTGTATATCGCGCATTGGACGTTCTATCTCGACAGAACAATCATCTCACACCCTAGCACGGTGTTTTGTTACTGTCTCGCGGGCTGGGTTATGAGGGCTAAACTGACGTATGACATAACATTCTGCCAAGTAGGAGCGCTTCCAATCATTTCGATCAAAGCACTATGTGTAATAGAAAGAAGTGATCGGGTACAACTGTCGATTGTATTTGAACGCGTAACCAACATAGACTCGCACGATCCCGATGAAAAATTAGGTCTTCCGGGAGGGAGGAGCACGTACCCTCCGCCCTATAAGAAGAATGAGCATTGATTACTATCAACCATGAATGGTGCTTACAGTAATTCCAGCTCTCCACTAATTTCGTGAGTTCAGGCGGGTCCAGTCGCAAATACGGGGAAATCACCCGCAGGTTGGGCACCAACGATTCTGCCACTTCTTCTCCATCATCCCCTACCCAGAGGTATGATGATTTCAACCGAGGATAATCGGAGGACTTAACGGCGAGGGGGTCGTGTGTAAAACGAATGGCGTCGCGGATGAGACTAGATCCATCTTGCGGTATTGGAAGTAGCGCTGTGGTCGGGGCGTCCGTCCTGACCATTATGGTGTGTTGCCACCAGTCGACATCCATCTGGAATCATGTTTTAGCTGATAGTGTTTAAAGGAAAAAATGAAGACGCTCAGTGCTCACCCCCTGCCGTCTGCCTGCTTGACCTTGGCCTAGGGGTAACGCGCCGCAAAGCGGAGTGACTATGGGTCTGTTGTCATTATAGGCCACGACTACACACGGTCTCTCCTTGTTGGAAGGAGCTGCAGTCTGACTGCCCGATGTTATCGCAAGAATTGCACGCGTAGGCCTATAAAGCACGATGGATCCTAGTGGAAGTTTGTTCGCCATGTTGAAAAGGCGTGCTGACTACTACTCAATGCGACAGTATATATATGACGCCCCTCAGTTGAGATGCTAAAGATACCAAAACGTCGAAACAGGAAGATTTATGGAAAACCCTACATCCAAAGACGGGACATCCGCAGAGGTCTCCTGGATCAACACCCTGAGAGTCTTCGAATGCAACGTAGCGACCGTGTGGATGAGCCTCGGCTTCTAGTGAGGAGCCCCTAGGTAATCTGATGAGACAGGATGCATTACTGTCACGGAGATACCTCTTAGCAGTCTACATGCAGGATGCGAAAAGGCATCCTGTAGGCAGTGTCGCCAAAGTGGCATGGGACAACACGCACTACTCGTGGCTGCCACCATGGAATATAGCAGCTGTATATGACTTGTGGGCCACACTTAACATATGCGGCAAAGCATGTTTTAGAAGGAGTACCATTTCCGGACAACTGAGGAAGTGCAACCTGGGAACGAGAAAGTCGTAAGCGTACATTGTTAGCGCCAGTAGATGTGATCGGGTAAACGGGCGCCGTTTGCAGGGCAGACCTAAACGTGTTGATACTTTCGCCCCGTATACTCTCACTCCTGAAACGATGAAAGCTGAGCCAGTCGTTGTTCAAGCGCAGTCCTTTGTTTTAGCCAGACTCTTGCCTCAGCGTTCAGCATATTGGACATCGTATCACGGATACAACAGGGCAGCACTGGTGCCAAATCGGCCATTTGTCGCGTTGCGCGTTCGTTACACATATAACGAATGCGACAATGTGCAATTATTCTTGGTGTCCACAAGGAAGCGTACTAGCGGCTTATATGCTGACTGCGACATGCCTCTGGTTTCGCGGTCAGACGATGCACGCGTCGGACTTGACGGCGCGCTTCGCGCAGTGCCCTTCCTGCCAACGTCAACTACATCCTTATATCTTCACACATTCCCCGGCATACAGGTTATGAGAGGCTCCGCAAGCTATAATACTATATCCCAGGACGACGAAGGCGACAAACACAAGCTCGACGATTCGAGTCTCAAAAGATTCTGGTCGAAGGCGTGGAACGAAAGGCTGACGTTCAGAAGGAGGGGGTGGGCCTCCAAGACGATGAAACCGCGAAGCTCTGGAGGAGACGAAGTCGTGCAAGACAACTGGGATACATTCAGCAAGGACGTGAATGACACAGAGTACCTACACAACCCTTCCGGCCGATGTATGTTTGAAAGACTGGAATTCCAGGATCTCCCGCTTTCAGAGGAGCCGTCGATCTATCGGGAGCTAGCGATATATGACCAGTAAGCAATAGAGTTTACGAGTTGCATCTAGCACTAATTGTGACCTGATAGGCTTGCTGCCGATTTCTCCTGGCGAGGCGTCGATGGGTCAATCGCATGGGTCGAAGCAATGAGACAGGTATGCGATTCCAGTCAGCGATGCTTCCGCGGTCTTACGCATATTAGCTTGGCAATGAAGGATCTTTGTTAAGTTTCTCGCTAGACACTACGGGATCGTGCTCAGGAGAACCCCCATCTTTCTCTGCTGCTTTGAAGGAGGATGCAGTAGCATTACGCGCAATGCAAATACCCGTTGACGGAGACCCTCCTCCGGTGTCTAGAGACGAAGAAACTGTCGAGATAGACTGGGGCGATGACCCACAGCCTGATTTCTCAATGGCACCGGTGGTTCGTCCACCTGTCGTTGCTGATGAAATCAAGGTCGTAGCCTTTGACCTGTACGGAGTGATTTTGGTGAGCAGTTGAGTTGTTTGTGCAGGCGCTCGCTCACCTTAGTCGTCACCTCACTGGTGTAGGACCGTCAAGAGGGTTTGCGCTGTGCGCTGCGCACGTTCCTTCCTCTAGACCCCCACCAGCATACCATAGACGGCTTAATGCGACTATACATCGAGACTGAAGCCCATCTCGTTCGTGATGCCCCTGGCATATCTCGTGAACAGTTGGTCCGTGCCGCGCTTGGGGACATGTTGCGTATTGTCGGCTTGTATCCTGAAGACGACATAACCCAGCGTGCCGTCGATGCTATATGCCCAACTCCCTACACCGATGTCACCGACGCCTTGAGGACACTGCAGCAGCGTGGTTATAAGCTGCTGTATCTTGTTCCTCGCGATGCATCTCGCGTCTCGGACACTGGGTCCCTTCTTCCTCCTGACATCCGCACGCTGTCCGTCTCAACAGCTCATCTACATACCCAATCGAAAGGTGTATGCTCTCAAGTGGTCGAAGAATGCCAGTCAATCATCCCGGAGATCAAGAACACTGAGATTCTCCTTGTCACAACCGGGCTATACAGGATCGTTGAGCTCGCGAATGCAGCTGGGATACCGACCGCACTGGTCCAGCGGCCAAGTGTAGACGAAGCTCGGCTCGAGCGCGCGACGGAGCAAGACGAACTATCGTCGCCTACGATGACTATTGGAGGACTGGGAGAGTTGTGCGATAAGCTGGATCTGATGCGCTC